AAAATACAATGGTTTTGTCTGTTTGTTAGCAAGGCGAGGGTTTCTGCATGCATGTATTTTCTAGTTGGTTTCTAATCGCCCCTCCTGTTTTAACAATGAGGTAAATTAGTACGTCATTAATTGTCTCTCACGAAACAAAAGATTTCGAGGTGGCTATGGTATCATTAAATTAATCAGCACATAATCATAATATTGAACGATCGAAACCGAAACAAATAACATCCGTGCATAGAATTCGGTTCAATAATTGCATTTATGCACTCATGGGTTCAGTATACATGCCTACATGGTGTTCCAAAGAAGAGTATACAGTATTTCAATTAAGGTTGTCCACGAGCAAAGCGGAAAAGTCGAATACGAGCGCGAAAAGCTGCTGGGAACCACTTTGAAAATTCATTAATTTGTTAGCGATTCCCAGCAGCCTTTCGGGCTCGTATTCGACTTTTCCGCTTTGCTCGTGGACAACCTTAATTGAAATACCTGTATACACCTTTTGAAATCAAGCCTTTGTTGGAATTTGAATGCCACATTACTATCAAATTATTACAATAGGAAAATTTCAAAAGGTATAATACTACTTTCTTGGTGCATTTCTAAAGGTCTCCTTTTTTAGACACCCTGTGTTTTAAATGCAAATAATTTGGTCGCGAAATTTCAGATTAGGCCTGTTTCAAACGTCGCGCTTCTCATGTGCCGAACGCATTAGAAACAATAGATAATGTCGCGTTTCAGCTGATTATCTATTGTCTTTAATGCGTTCGGCACATAAAAAGCGCGACGTTTGAAACAGGCCTTAGACTCTATTTTGAATACAACGTTAAACTAAGATTTTCACGTCATTGGAGCAACGCGAATGCTTGGTGCGACATTGGAGCAGTTACATAAAATGTGTCTCATAGCAGACAGTGGGTCGTTCTTCCCGAACTTAGCCGTTTGTAAGGTTATTTTAGAGAGCTTCAATTTATTACAGTAATCAAGTTCCTTAGCTCTCAATCTTGAGTGAAATTGAAACCGCGTTGTCGTGTTTTCCTCGTCGTCTTTTCTAAATCTGTCTATTATTGCGCAGTCACACACAACGGCGTAGTGGACTGGAACGCAGACTGATAAACAGTCATTTTATCAATTTCTAAAGTTGTTTCTTTTTGGATTTTTTTTTATTAATTTGGTTAGGGTTGCGGTTAGGGTTAGAGTAGAGATAAGGTTGGTAACATAGCCATTTAATTTAACACGTCTTCCATTTTTTGCGTATGTTGGTGTTACGTACTCGGGTGAATATGGTGTTTGTGAAATTGTGATGTTACTCTGAGTGTGCATCCACGGTGGGAATCGAACCCGCGACCTTTGGGATACTAGGCCAATGCTCTGCCAAGTGAGCTACGAGGTCAAGTCGGTTTGAGTTGGTGATATTTCGGAACTGAGTTTAGTTCCTTCGACATCTTCCAAAAATGACGTCACGTCAGTTTTGTAGATGGAAATAAGTGCTGACCGACCCATGTGGCCCACTTGAATGAGTAATTCGCGGCCTTGCAGGGTAACACTCCCCCATATAAACAGTTCTTAACGAGTATACTTCTGGTATTTTGTCTTTTAATTAATTAAGATACATCTAAAACTCTTCACTCTACTGCATACATTTAATTTTAATGAAACAAATTTCAATATGTAATTCAGTTATGCCCGAGCCAACGGCACGAAGCGCCGTTTCCGAGGGTACTAATTCCACTCGGCTACTTACACCCGGGGACAGAAAATTCCTGCAATTTTTTCGAAACTTTTCAGACGTTTTGTCGATTATAAAACAAACCAAACGATATGATGAAGTAATGAAAAGGATTTGCAACATTAAGACCTCTTTTCAACCGCAATTGCGTAAAAGCGCGGGAAACGTTCTCTTCGCGAACTTGATCAGTATTTGCAACAGTCGTGATGTTAGTTCCATTATTAATTACCCTATTGTTTTTAATATATTATTAAAAAAACTTTAAATAAAAAAGAGAGCATGTATATAATAACTATGTTGGTGATGAGAGTATCACATCATTTGAAATGGTTTTAGTTCAAACTCAAAGTTTATCGATAAAAAGCAGTATATTTTATGAACATTTTAAAATGTTTTACAAAATTAGTATTGAAAGCTCAATTTTACATAAATTTCAGCTGATATTACACATAACGATACACCTAGTATATATATATATATATATATATATATATATATATATATATATATATATATATATATATATATATATATATATATATATATATATATATATATATATATATATATATATATATATATATATATATATATATATATATATAGGTTATCATATAAGGGATGAGGTGATATCAGTTTTATCGCTCGAGGGATAATATCACAATTGTCACGAGCGAGCGCAGCGAGCGAGGGACAATTGTGATATCGTCCCGAGAGCGATAAAACTGATATCACCGAATCCCGAGTACGATAACCTATTTATTATATACTTGTACCTTTATCAGGGTTTGACAATTGACACCCAAAAGTAAACAGTTTTGAAAAAATAGAATTCAAAACAATTCATCATTTACTGAACAAATATGATTTTAGAAAATAAATAGACCATTCAAATAAATAATATACCATTTAAGTCTTTCATTTTGTATTATCGTTGTGTTTTCTTCGATAAACTGTCGACATCAACCAACACGAACCTCGAGTCGGCCATCTTTGTTTTGACAACGCGCGAAATTTAGCGGGACAAAAAACGATATCCGGGACAAAAAACGATATCCGGGACAAAAAACGATATCCGGGACGATATCGTTTTTATGTCCCGCTGCTTCCTACCTGATAAAGGTACAAGTATATATATAATATATATATATATATATATATATATATATATATATATATATATATATATATATATATATATATATATATATATATATATATATACTACACATTATGCCTAAGCTTTTATGCGCACGCTCACTGCATTTCACAGTGATAAAGCACATAAGTAAAGTCATTGTAGCGCCCTTCGAGGAAAGCTCAAACAACGCCCTTTTGGGGGCTCATCAGCACAGTGCACCGATGATGAGCTTCCACATACCAAGAATGTATATACTATAGAAGACAGTGTGGTGGATGTGGGACACTACGGAACTTTATATACTACACATTATGCCTAAGCTTTTATGCGCACGCTCACTGCATTTCACAGTTTTAAAAACGGCGATAAAGCACATAAGTAAAGACATTGTATAAGTAAAGACATTGTATAAGTAAAGACATTGAGGCGATAAAGCACATAAGTAAGGACATATATATATATATTCTGGAAATTGATGATTTTGTCCCAGAGCCAATGGCGCGGAGCGCCGTTCCTGGCGTTTGCCCGGGGCGAGGGTACTAATTCCTCCCGGCTATTTACATTAAATCAAAGCTCACAAAATGCAGAACAAAATACCTACAGTACATATTTCGGAAATTCATTGTTATATAGTTAAAAGCAATCATCTTTCAACTATATTTGGCGTGCTGTACAAAAAAATAATAAAACTTAAAATTATCGTGTTGCTATGGCAACACTGACGTAAACGCGAACCTACGTTCAGTGTTGATCAATTACTAATACTTCATGTTAAATCAATGTTTGGAAAATACAGGCGAGGGGTTGCTGCATGCATGTATTTCTGGTAACCAAAAGTATGTTTTTACATTTTCTACAAAAAAAATATAAAAACGATCGTGTTACCATGACAACTATACAGCAACTGCTAATACCTAATAAATTCATGTTTGAAAATATAGTGGGGACTCCACCCCCCCCCCCCGTCTGTTTCCACGGTTCCTGAAAATGCAAACTTTGTTTCACAAAGACGTATAAACCTTGGTTTATCGGTTGCAGGCAGAGCGAACTTGACGTCCAAATCTCCCAGGATTTTGATTACTATGATCATTTCTCTTCTTAAATATTGCTAATTTTAATTGCGTTACTAGGCTTGGCCGTCACGTTGCTGCCCTTCATCTAACACACGTCAGTGATTAGTGCAAAGCTGCAAACTGTTATACTGTGGTTTCCTTTTTGATTGAACATGTACATTCATCAAGATACATCTGTATTTTAGTTGCAGCATCATGTCTTTTCATTTTCCAAAGTACGTTTTCAAGATTACGTAATGCGTCTTCTGGATTTTCAGTTACCTTGTTTTCCCATTCCATAAGAAGCTTCTCTGTTGGACTCTCGATATTACGAGGGCGATCCAACCACCGTATAAACTGTAGATTGTGACCTAGATGTTCTGCTAACATCTCCCAATTATCACTTCCGGGGATGTTCATATCCAACAGCTCGATCAAGTCCCTCCGTAATCCTGTCGGGATAAATGCAACAGTTGTGTTTTCTCCGGATCCAGCGCTAGCGAAGCCAGAAGACGAAGCAACAGAAGTATATATACCACGAGCTGTGTTGTTATTGTTTTGAGATTGTGCTCTCCTTATCTGAAAAAGTAACTTTTTCAATTAATTTCTATAATTTAATTAAACTGACAGTATGAAATATCTGTAAAGCAGTGCAATTACTCTAGTGCGCGCAATTAACAAAACAAGAGCAGAGCCTGGAAACAAGGCAAGAAAAATTAACATGGCGGCAGATTGCGCAATCTCGTTCCCCGAGCATGCCCGTTCGCAGGTTAAGGGTGGGCATAGCTCTGGAGAAATAGAATTGATTCAGGCCGGTGATTAGCCAGCGTGGAGGCCCAAGGGAACTGATAGTGGGCCTGCAAGCAAGGCCCGGTATTTTGTAAAACGCCCCTTTTCATAACACGCCCCATTCGCGCGTCAATTGTCAAAAAAGAACCAATGACAGCACCCAAATATTAACAAACAAACTCGCATTAAAATGTTGCGGGGTTTTCTCTGCTTATTCAGAACATATTAAACAATGTGTAAATGGCTGCGTTTTAACTCCAAAAAAGCAAGCAACGCAGTCAGTAATTGCCAAATTTGCAAGTGCCCATTTTCAACTGAAATCAGAACAGGCAAATTAGGACGAATATTTGAACAGAAAACCAGTCTCAAACTTCAAATCGTGAGGGAAGTCGTGCGACCACATTAGCATTTATACTGTAGTGTGTGCTTCGCTGTGGCCATTGTTATAAATAAATTGTCTCACTTTAATATCAGATCGTGTGTGCAATTCTTGTTGGCGGCGGAAAGTACAAAATTTATTTCAGTTATTTCATTTGGTAAAGAACTCTACAAAAGAAGAGAGCATTCAAAGTCCAGATCGTTTAGTTTCAAACGGCAATTTAATACCGTCTTCTGTTTCGCTCTCTCAACGAAGCCTTGTAAATCGCAAAGTGTTTCGAATAGGCTTACATGCAACTGCATCTCAACATCAACCAAAAGATCATTTTCTTGAGGAACATATAGCGTATCAAGTCTGTTTGAAATTAATGAAACTCAAGTGTATTAAAGTCTCTGTGGTAAAGGTTACTATATAGTTTACCCCGGTCGTAATGTTGCTATTCCAACACCTCACGACAAGCAATCCCCATTGGCATAACGGCAAAAACATCTCTTCTTTCAAGTAAACAATAAACAGTCTGTTCTTGTTCCATTTGTAATCGAAAAAAGTGATCAGTGTAAAAAGTATCAAATTTTCGACGAGAAATTCTAAATACTTTGTTTATATTTTGCAACATTTGCCGGGTATGCGTAGAACTCACGTTGGAAATCCAACGTGAATCAATTCGATTTCTCCAGAGCTATGCACACCCTTACCCTGCGAAAGGGCATGCTCGGGGAACGAGATTGGGCAGATTGTAGCAATGTAAATTTTAACTTTTTGAAGACTTTTTGCAGTGGCACTTTTAATGGCAAGTCACGTACGTAAATATAACAATTTAAGTACAAAGAGCACATAAACTGAAAAGGTTTTGCTAAAAAGCGATGAAAACAATCTGTGTGCACAGGTGTTATCGAAGCGTGTAATAGCATGGTTTCTCGTGCAATACACTCGTGAGTTTTTCAAAGACTTGGGCTCGTGCAATTTTGATCTTCTTTAATTTAAAAAACTCACTCGAGTCGCGCATGTTTTTTTCCAAATTGCATTCGAAACCATAGTACTATTACCCAGCCTAGACCTAGGCCTTCTAGTCTTGTTTATATGTTTTTAATATTCAGCGCTTTTTCACATGAAAAGACTGGGACTAGGTGATTTGGGGGCGGGGCGGAGGAACCAAGCCTAGAAGGCCTAGTGGATTTCCCAACAACAAGGCCAAAACTGCCCTGAAACTGCCCTGGTTGCGAAATGCCCAATTATTGCGTTCTCAAACAGAAGTATTTGCAACTTAACGGCGAATTTAAACGGATACAGGTAAAATAAACTCATTTATAGTATAAACTTACTACTTTTATTTGTATACACGTCTAGAAAATCGGGTTTTTTATCATAAAGTTTGAAGCAACACTATTATTATGTTGACAAGGTGTAGCGAAAGCACAAAATGAGTCAAAATATATACCAAAAGTAGAATCTTTCATGAAATTTTGTCTTATACACAACTACATTAATATATATTTTATAAATTTTGGCAAGAAGCAGTCTTGTGTTTGTAAAATATACAAACACATATACAATTATAATTTATTAAATAAAACGGATACATATATTATTAGCCCGTACAGTACTGTATATAAAAACGTACATTGTTTACAAATGGTATATCCGTAATATTTGAACAATAATTTCAAAATCCTCATTCCCAATTCGCAAATATAGTTATTCGAAGCAAAACAGTAGATTGTCTTGCGAATAATTAACAATTATTGAATTCGGTTTTTGCGATATGCAAAATTATCAAGGTCTCGGTAAGCGTTATCAGCCTCGCCATACAAGAACCTTCCCGCTTCTGTAACTTGTTTTGTATTTATTTGTTCTATTTTCTGTAGCGATTACCGCTTTATCGGCACATATAGCGTTAGGATCCGGCAGAATTTCGCTTTCCTTCCTTTATATACGTCAATTTGTAGCAATGGATACACCTTTCGTTAGATTCTTTGCATAAAAGTTGCGAAACTTAGATCTTATAGCGATATTTGCTGATAAATCGGTTTTAAACCGCAGCCTAGTGTGTTCATACTATACAAATTTAAAATTACCGAATACAATAATTTGACGTACTAAAATGAAAATTTCACAACTTTTATGCAAAGAATCTAACGAAAGGTGTATCCTTTGCTACAAATTGACGTATATAAAGGAAAGAAAGGGGAATTCTACCGCGATATTTGCCGATAAAAAACGCTACAGAAAATAGAACAAATTAAAGAAATACAAAACAAGTTACAGAAGCGGAAGTGGGAATGTTCTGGAATGTTCTTGCATTTTGACTGTAAATAGATACCGCTTGCTAATCATCGCAGGCTCATTTGCAGATAACCGAGTTATCTGCTAGCAGATAACTAAATTTTCTGTAGGTTGCGTGATTGCGCGATTTAACTGTAAGCTCTTAGCCAATCAAATTGCTTTTACCAATTACAATGTATAATAAAAGTTATTATTTTGTACTTTCGCTTCACCTTGTCAACATAATAATAGTGTTGCTTCAAACTTTATGATAAAAACCCGATTTTCTAGACGTGTATACAAATAAAAATAGTAAGTTTATACTATAAATGAGTTTATTTTACCTGTATCGGTTTAAATTCGCTGTTAAGTTGCAAATAATTCTGTTTGAGAGCGCAATAATTGAGCATTTCGCAACCAGGGCAGTTTCAGGGCAGTTTTGGCCTTGTTGTTGGGAAATCCACTAGGCCTTCTATTTTCCCGCTTGCGTCGGGCTTGTGTCCTTCCTCCGCCCCGCCCCCAAATCACCTGGTCCCAGTCTTTTCATGTGAAAAAGCGCTGAATCTTAAAAAAATATAAATAAAAATAGAAGGCCTAGGTCTAGGCTGACTATTACCTATACTTTTAAATATAGCTTTGAATGACCAAAAAATCAACGAAATTATTTTTAAAACAATTTGTTACTGGTCTCATAATAGTTGTAAAAATTATGATATTATAGAGTGAAGACAATTACCTCGGACTCAAAATACAGCGACACAATAATATTGACAGGATTGTCAAATTTACATTTGTCTTGACAAACTTTAAACTTGCAGGATATTCGTTCTGGTCTCGGGGCAACGTGTTGAAAACGGAATGTTCGGTTGGGCGATACATCAACACAGTGACAAAGTTCTTTATAACCTTCGGTCTGAAAAAAAGCAATAAAAAAATAATTTACAGCCATTACCGGGCAACTTTAAATATACGTGAAAGAATTACTCGATTAGTTGGCTCAGAAACTTGATTGACAGCTTTTCTTTGTTTGTCAAATTTTATCCAATCAATTTGAAGAACGATGACATCAGTGTTAAGCTGTTCCTAATTTGGTACGCAACTCCGTAACTAGTCTGCGATGGCAGACTGATCTCAGCCGATCCCCCTGGAGCGGCGGAGAAACAGTCTGCGATCAATCAACACTAATGCCGTACAGTTACGTAAGCAGTATTTTGCATAATTAATTTATAATTATTCAAAAAATGTCAAGTCCAAGATGGCGGAGACAGAGTAACAATGAATAATTATGCATAACAATGTAATTTATGCAATATTCGGCGTGATCACAAAGGCAAATTTCAACCAATGATATTCCGCCCCACGTTGTGGTGTACGGCATTAGTGTTGATTGATCGCAGACTGTTTCTACGCCGCTCCAGTGGGGTCGGCTGAGATCAGTCTGCTATCGCAGACTACTACGTAACCTGTTTCATTTTGGTTTCATTTTCGTTTTTATTGAATCTGACAGTGCTTCCACTTTCATGAAAATTTCTATATTTTATGGAATTTTTGGAGTGAAATGGAACTTTTGGTGGAATTGGAGAAAAGATGGAAATTCTACTTAAATTTCAGTGTACATAAATTGTACTAAAACGCGCGTTTCATCCACTTTTCAACGAAAAGTTACATAATATATACAGTAATAATTATATGTATAGGTAATAGCATGGTTTCGAATGCAATTTGGATATAACATGTACAAGTGAGTTTTTCAAACACCTCAAAATAGCACGAGTCCGATGGACGAGTGCTATTCAAGGTCTTTGAAAAACTCACGACTGCATGTTTATCCAAATTTCACCAGAAACCATGTTATTACTTATTAATAATTTACATAAAAATGTTCGAGACATTTGTAGTTTTATAAAGTTACGTTTTTCGCGGAACCGTCCACTGGCAATTTCCTAGCTGGCTTTGTTATATCACATTATACAACGCTGACAGCTAGTTAACTTTTACTTTATGTAGCGCGGCGCCATGTTTGTTTTGTTTTGAAGCAATCTGTGTCCGTTACTTCTTTAAACTAAACTGCTTTAAACTGATTGGTTGATTTTATCATCACATCGGTTTTCCACCAATCAGATCAGTTTGTTACAGATTTTTGCACTCATGTGATTACAGAAAATTACACTGTGACTACAGAAAATTACACTGATGTTTGGCATTAACTGCACTGAAATCAACCAATCACAGTCGAGTAATATTTTTATGTATATATATTATTATACACATAATATGGACCAAGAATCCTACTAGATCTGTATGCATCTGTGCTCTACATGTTCTTATCAATCTTGTCCCAGTTTCTCAATCTCAATCTCAATCTTGTCCCAGTCAATCTTGTCCCGGGTTCAATTCCCACCGTGGTTAGGCAAACCAACGAACGTTTTAGCTTGCCCGGTGTATAGATGCAGACTCAGAGTAACATCACAAACACCATATTCATCCGAGTACATAACACCAACACACACAAATAGTATCAAATGCAGATAGAGCGATAATGATGCAATGATGATGATAGTGTCCTTTACATAAGGCGTGGTTTCCCAATTCGTAATACATGGGCTTGAAAAATAGTGTGAAAGGATTGGTTTCTGGTGAGTCGACCCAGAGAACAAGGAAACTCTCACTTAGAAACGTTCAGCTTAAGCACTGGAAATTGGCAGGTTTAAAACTGGTGTAAGGGCCGGTGCGCCAACCACATTTTCCACCCGTACGGCCAATTCGATTTCTCACGCCGCCATTTTTTGGTGGCTTTCATTCGAAGTCTGCGAGATAAGT